GGACAATTTGAACAGTCTATTATTATTATTATAAATATTATTTTTAAAATAATGAGTCTATTATTAGTCTAATTATTTTTACTTAATTAAAACAGCATTTCCTTTTCTTTATAAACCAACAAATACAGTCCGATCTCTGGTTCCAAAAAGCGTGAGTTAATAAGGTTTTTAGACTGAGGGGAACATCGAATGGAAGGATTAACCTTTAAAAAACAGAAGCTGATGTTTCAACACATCACTCCCAACTTTCCAGTGTTTGTGACGACATATAAACCATAAACAGAGGAAGGCAAAACCACGCAGCTCTATAAAGAAAGATTAAAGAAACATCACAAGAAACGTGTTTGAACTGAGCTTCTTCGAGATATCCCCGTTCCTTTCTAAAGAACAAAAATTTGAATCCAAACATTTTATAATAAACAAATTTGCTAAAAACAAGCATAAAACATACAAGTTTACCTCCAAACCAGAGCAGTAAAAAAAGAAAAGAAAAAGAAATAATCTGTCCCATGAACATGTGGAAAGCCCCTCCTGAAATCCCATCAAACATATCGAGTGGATCAATGTCACTGATGGTCAGTCGCCTTCTTTCACCTTCACTTCTCTTTCTGTGATGGAAAAAATTGTAAAATTAAATTCAGAGGAAACATCAAGAAGCACCACGTCCAGGGTGATGAAACATACAGTAGGTAAATAAATTAATAAGAGATTTCTGTAAACACATTTATATGTTTGTCTGCAGTAAATATAACAGTGACATTACCTTATCTTGTTTATCAGCCTCAGCTGAGCCTGTTTACAGAGAAAATACAAATTAAAAAATTAAAAGTCAGGCACAGAGTTTAATAAACATCTTACTTTTTGAAACATATTACTCATTCTTTTTTATTTGATCCAAAAGGTGACAAGATTTTCTTCAGCTTGAAATGATTAAAAAAAACTTCAATACACATTAAAACTGTTGGACGATATTTTTGCGTCAATATTTGCTACCTGAGCTGGTAAACGTCCACGAGACAAACTTGATGAGCCCATAAAGCACCAGCGCCACGCCGACCATCGCCATAGAGTCCTCGATGGACGGAGAACTGAACCCTGAAAAGAAAAAAAGATCGTTAGGATTCATCTGATCTGAACAGGTTTGTTAATATCAGTTAAATTATTATTACAATACTGTGCAAACATTTTAGGCAGGTGTGAAAAAATGCTGTAAATAAAAAGAATGCTTTTGAAAAATATAAATGATTGTTTATTTGCCCCAAATGTATTCTGCAGCAGGACAACGACCCCAAACATGGAGCCAAAGTCATTAAGAACTATCTTCAGTGTAAAGAAGAACAAGAAGTGCTGGAAGTGATGGTCCAGTCCCCACAGAGCCCTGATCGCAACATACTCAGGCGTGTCTGGGATTACATGAAGAGACAGAAGCATGTGAGGAAGCCAACATCCACAGAAGATCTGTGGTTAGTTCTCCAAGATGTTTGGAACAACCTACCAGC